CTACTGAAAGAGGTTTCATACCTTTCATCCACCTGTTCTCTCACAACAGCCAAAACCAGCACCAAGTCAACCCTTTCATTAAGGCCTTCAACTCAGCAACTTGACAGAAAGTTTAGCAGAAATTCATCCAGTTTTTTTGCTCTGGCAGTTTTCTGCTGGTTTACTGAGCAGCTTACTTCAGCAGCTTATGGAGGGACACAGTGGAATTCATGCAAGGTAGATAGTGGGAGAAGGCAGTCAAAAGTGGTAGGAGGGACTTCTTTCAACAGCAAGGAGCTCACTTCGTCATGTAAATATCACTAACATGAAATAAAACTCCCCACAGCCAGGCACTGGACCCTCCTGAGCATCAGCACTAGGATACCAGGCAGTAGGGAAGCAAGTGGTAGAAGCATGCAGGAAAACGCAAGGGGTCAACTGCCTTTCTTTGGCAGTGAGTGACCTCTCATTAATTTTCCCATCACTCCTCCTTGTTAATGAAGAGTTCCAATTATGTCCAAGTGCTCTGTGTCGAGTGCATATTAGATCTCTGAACAGTGCTTTATTTCCATGTTCACAAGCTTATTTTCCTCAAGATACTGCTGAACTTCCCTGTAACATTATTGAGATTTCCAACTCAACTGCAGAAAGGCCACCACAGAAAACAGTTAAACAAACAAAATGAATGCTGAGGACTCAGGAAGCCTCAGAATTCACACTGCCAATGCAACCTCAATTCTTTATAAAAAGACAGGGGAGTCTGCGGAGTCTGTTCTGCTGACTTGTGACCATTGCCTTGTTGAGCTCAAAGGACTGGTGCTCAAATTCTCCTCTCCAGGACTTGTACTACATGACTGCAGTAGCTGAGAGCTGTGCAAGTACTTGCAGCACTGCATGATCATTCTCTTCCGACACTGATTCCAGTTTACCAAGGAGGCTTTTATCCTGAAAACATGTCCAAACAGCTCTGATCAATAATGTGTACAGTTTCCAAGCTAGTTACTTTGTACAAGAACAGCTCAGCTGCATTAGTATGGTGCTCCACCACACCAATAGCTTGCTGTTCAGCAGGATTAATTAGTCTGGCAGAGCACAGCACTAATGTGATTATGTAGCTTCTAGTACCTGAGCTAGCTTATTCATCGTTTCTATTCCTTTGCTCTGAAATAAAGAGTTTAGATTTTGCTATTTTCTTAACACCTAAATAATTCAAGCATTTTTTTTTTTTTGGAAGAGAGAGGAACAAGACTTAGAGAAGACTCCAAGCCAGATTTCCCTGTTTGAAAGAATGCATCTCCTGCCTCCATTGCCTCCGTCACTATTACCATCCTCTTCTAATCACTTCCTTTGTTCGTATCAACTGCCTGTGAACCTGCAAGTCCTCCCTTTATATCAGAAATAATGATTTCCAGCCACAGCCAACAGTGACAAGAGCAGAGACTGGGAGATGTTGAGCTTAAGAGTCATCATTGCTTTCCACTCCTTTTTTACAAATAGGAAACAGGTATCAAAGGAGTACTTGCTCAAAAGAGGAGCCACCTCTCAAATTAATGAGTGGAAGAGCAAGAATACAAACAACAGTCACCTTATTCACAGTCTGGGGTTCCTATCAGGACATGGAAACAGAGACCAGCATGAGGTATACCAGGCATCCAGACCTTGCCCCAAGTCATGGAATCACCAGATCATTTGTGGAACTGCCCAAAGAACTCAAGTTATGACAAAACACAAGTGTGCTGGTATGCTCAAAATCAACTGTTCCTCTTTCCTCAAGTCTCCTTGAAGCATTTGGCATGAGGAAGACACTCAGGGCAGGCAATATTAGGTCACTCAGTAAAAAAATCAGCAGCCACAAGCAACTGACAGCAGTTGCACAACGGGAAACCCCACTGCTGGCAGTACTGCTCTTTCTTTCAAATTTGCCTGTAGCCCATCATCAGAAGAGAAACAGAGGAATATCACAGCACCCATTAGTATCTCTGGTCTTTGGCCCACATCCCTTACCTGTATGGGCACACTTGCACACTGACAGGCCTTGCAGGTGTAACACAGTGGGGCAGTTCCCACACACAGACTTTAAGAGCAACCATACTGTTCTGACAGAGTGAAAAGCAGTGACAGCATCAAGATCTGCACTTCTTCATGTTTCCACAAGTCTTTTACTTGCTACATAAGCATCTAGCATTTATTTTTCTACTTTTTGTCTTATTATGTTGGTTTAAATATTAAAAAAGGTTCAAGAATCTTTATATTTCCATCCTTTTGAAGTTTGCCCTGTTTCTGGTTTCTGGTTTGTGGTTTTGGTTTGTTTGTTTGTTTGTTTTTAATACAAAAGAGTACGCCATAGAAAAAATGGTTAAAATTTCTACAACAAAATGTGGTTAAGAAATGCTATAAAGTCAAGGTATTTTATTGTTTTGTGACTGCAAACGATATTGTACTGACTGGACTTCTGAACACTTATGTCAACTTAAAATTTGAAACAATAAATGGACAAAACATGTGTAAGTTCTCTCCCCTCTCGGCTTTTTGTTGTCATGTTGAACAGACAGAGCTCTTCCAGGACAGAAATGCAGAAAAAAAACACATTATTTTTTTACATTCTTTTCCTTTAAAGTAACTTGCTTCCTTCTGTCAAAAATATCCACAGGAACAGTTTCAAGTTTTGAGTTCTAGGTATATGATACAGATCATACAACACAGATGCAAGTTCCAGGCTCAAAAGAGTATGAAAAGAGGAAGATTCTTTACATTTGCATCTCCAGCATGCAACTACCAGGCACAAAGAAAGGAGCTTTAAAAGGAATTCTGTTTTCTGTGCGTGCACAGTAGAGTACAAAAGTTCACAATTAAAAACGTTACAGTTTAAAACTTTTTCTAAAAAGACCAGATTATAAATCCATCTTGACAGTAAAGTAACAATATAAAAAAGTAGACTAAAGCTTGCAAAGACAGAGAGAAAAATCAACAAAAAGGCCAACACATGAATCAATGTGAAGAAAGTTAACACAGAATAAGAAACACTGTTTAACCGTAAATGGCAAAAAAAAAGGGTTTTTTTTAAAAAACAGAAAAAAATGAAATCAGGCAAAGTCCTGCAAAAATGCAAGAGCATTAAGTAAACAATATGTTAAGGTCACATACTGAATTAGGAGGAAAAGAAACTCCCAGAAACAACATGTAGTATTAAGGAAAAATAAAGATCTGGAAACTAAGTGCAGTCCTTCTGTCATCTCCTATGCTTAAATAGCCAAAGGTCTCATTTAGGGAGGCTACTGTGCTGTTGGTGGCTGCTCTGTAGAACTGGAGGAGAAAGAAGAGTGATAGAAAGGAAAGGGAGGAAGAAATTGATGAGATATTGGGTTATGTATATATGTACTTATACATACATAAGCACACAAACTATATGCACACAGACACACGTGCATCTATATATAATAAAAAATAACTTGAACTAGTTGACACAGAGTGGGACCAGCAAGAGCAGCAGCATACTTAAGTGTTATCTTCTTCCTCCTGTTTATTTACTTGTTGCAGTTTCTATACCACAGAATCAGGTCTATCAGATCTGGAGCCTCATTACTTCTAAATACTTCTACATATCAATTCCAGATAACTGGAAAAAGAGTTTGCTGGTATTTCTAACTGTTCCATATGCCTCAGGGAGGCTGTGTGACTAAAACAGAAGACAACATAGTCTCTGCATACTCCAAGATATGGTCTGTACCATGCACTCCTATGAGTTTCTCTCTTCAAAACATCTCTGCATCCGTCTGTACTACTTATGTAGTTGGCTGCACAATTTGCTAACTGATGCAAGGACTCTAGATCACAGAACACAACTTGAGATTTGTGATAGCTTATTATCTGATTCCCTGTGTGATGTCACAGGTCACTTTTTGGACCACTCTGTACAAACACACAAAAAAATTAATTATTTCAAATAAGGCTAACCGTGTTTCAGAAACTGAAATACTTGTAGTAACAGTCTCATTCCTATCTCATTTCCATCACCACAGAACAGGAAACACATACTACTAATTAATTCATAAACCCTAATCTCTGCAGGCAGCTGAAATTGTCAGTTCAATAAATAAACCAGCCGGTACTGACGGGAAGTTGAACTGTATTATCAGGGAAATTATTCTTTTGTCAGAGGACCCTGTCAACCTCTGCTCATGACAGCGTTACCTAGACACAGTTTGAGGAATTTCTGTAAGGAAGGACTTAAAACTGGTACCTGAACCAACCGAGCAGCACAACCGAAAAAGACCGTTGAATTTGTCTAAACACTACAGTGTGACGCTTTACTGCTTTAACCTAAATTGACTGTATTTTGCCAAACGCCCTCAACTCTTTGGATGGCCTGTATCGCTGAACACTGAACCGGACGAACCCGAGACAGACCGCGACATCTCCGGAGCGCTGGACCGCACCTCCATCCTACACTCGCCCGGCGCCGGACAGCCCGGGGCGGCTCCTCCTCTGCCAACAGTGCGGCATGGGCAGGGCGCCGGCCCCCTGCACCCTGCGGAGACACCCGGAGCTCACCGGCCGGCGGCCGAGCCCGGGATGTCCCACCGGGCGCGCAGGCGGACCCGCGCCGCTCCTCTTCCCGGGCGCCGCTGTCCCCAGCCCTCGTCCGGCCCTCAGCTCCCCCCGGGGTGCTTTGCAGCCTGCCGGCCCTCGCTCGGCTTTGCTTCCTCCCCGGATTTCTCTGCAACAGCTGGAGGAACCCGGTAACGCCGGGAGGTTGGGAGGCGCGGCCAGCGCGGAGCCGGCAGTGGAACGCACCGCAAACCGAGAGGATGCAACCGCGGGCCACGACGCCGACCTGCGCGGCGGCTGCCGAGCGAGGGCCGGCAGAAAGACCCCGTTCCTGCAGGGAGGAGGAGGAGGTGGAGGCAGGAAGGGTCAGGGCTCCCCCAACACCGCCGCCAGCCCTGGCAGCGACCTGTTGCCCCGCACGGGGGTGTCGAGGCGCGTCCCCATGAGCGGGACCGCCAACAGCCGCCACCCACCTCTTTGATTTTCTCCCTCCTCTGCCGGACGTCGGGGTCGGCGGGCTCCTGCCCCACGGCGCCTACGGGCTGGCGGAAGAGGCGCTGGGGCAGCCCAGGGGCCCCAGCTTCTTTCCTGTCGCGGGCGTCCTGCAGAAGTTTCTCCTTGTCCTGGCGGATGTCCCTGCGGATCTCCTCGGGCAGCTTCTGCAGCGTCTCCTTGGCTTCTCGCAGAGCCCGCTCGTGGTCCGCACGGATCCGCTCCAGGCTGCCCGCGCCGCCCGCGGCCGCCGCCGCCGCCGGGCCGCCTCCGGGCTGCGGAGGGGCGCGGGGCTGTCCGCCGGGCGGCGGCGGCGGCGGCTGCAGGGCGGCCGAGTGGAAAAAGACACCGCTGAGGAGCTTGGAGGAGTCGGGCAGGAAGAAGATGGCCCCGAAGCAGAGAGTGATGAAGGCGCTGAACACCAGCAGCAGCACGAACTTCTCCGTCAGCCGGAACGCGCCGGGGCTCGCCGCTTTCCTGCCCCCGCCGCCCGCGCCGCTGCCCGCGGGGCCGCCCAGCGTCCCCGGCCCCGGCGCGCTACCGAAGAGCGGCAGCAGGCTGGCGGCGGGCATGACCCCCGCGCCGCCTCAGCGCCGCCTCAGCGCCGCGCAGGGACCGCACCGCACCGGACGGCTCGGCTCCGCCGCCCCCTGCCCGCCTGTGCGACACAAAGTTTCCTCGGGCGGGCGCGGCAACTTTTTCCTTCCCCGTGGCAGCGCTCGGCAGCGTTTGCGGGGCGGGCGCTGTCAGCTCCAACCCATGCTGCTGCCGCTGCTGCTGCTGCCGCCGCTGCTGCTGCTGCTGCCGCTGCTGCTGCCGCCGCTGCTGCCGCCGCCGGGCCGCCGCCGCGGGTGCCGCTCCCCGCTCCGCCCGCGCGGAACTGCCGGGCGGCCGGGGGCGGGGCGGGGCGGGGCGGCCGCCGGCCCAATGGCGGGGGAGGCGGGGCTGCCGAATCCGCGGGTCCCGGGGCTCACCCGCGGGATGCGCTGCCCGGGCGCTGCCGGACCCCTGCGGGCGGGCGGACGGGCGCGGCGTCGGGGCCCGCCCGCTTCGTGCCCGTGGCTGGCGGCAGCGGCGGCCCGGGGCGGGTGCGCGGCACCTGCACATGCCGGCAGCGCTCACACGCGCACCCACGCGCACACGTGTGCGCGCACACACACGCGCGTGTGCCCCCGCCCCGGCGCGCGGGGCTGCTTGCACGCTCACGGCAGCGCGCGCTCGCGCGTGTCCATACAGGCACGTGCACAGAGCTGGGGGCGGCGCGAGAGGAGGCGGCTCCGGCATCCCTGTCCGCTGTCCGGCTGGGGGGACGGAGCGGGGCCGGGAATAACTCCCGATCCACCGGTCAGGAGGAGCTCTAGTCTATTCTTTGTAAGAAAAGCAGGGGTTAATTCTATTTATTTATTTACTTACTTATTTACTTATTTATTTTCTGTAGGCAGAAGATGCATCTTTTTCAAGGAAGTAGGGAAATGTGTCTCTGTATAGAGTATGAAAATTCGAGTTTTCATCTATGCTGGTGCAAAATTAAAAAACTGTCGTCTGTTGGCACAAGGATATGTGTTTGATAGCAGATCAAATTGCTGCATCAAGCTCCCCGAACATATGGTGATGGGAAAAGTTTCCAAAAAATATAAGATACGGATTTATTATTTTTGCTCGTGTTACAGAGCAATGGGATAAACTGTGGAGATGTGAGAATCGAGGAAACACAATAAAATGCTGGGTCACTTTTACAGGAAAAGGTAATCCAGCCAACACCCAGGAGTTTATCTCCAGCTCTTTGGGAACGTACTCAGAGTCTAGCTTGACTTTCACAGCAGTTCAGGGCCATAAACTTAAACATTTTCTCCAAAATATTAACCTCAGAGTCAGAAAGAAAACAGTGAGATAGGTTGTTCCCAGAAGTTAGAATGCAGAGGTTTGTTTGCGTATTTGCATGGCTTTATTTTGCAAGAGAACACATAAAACAACAGTAGAGGGAAGTCTGTGCTTTAACCAAGGGCAGGGAAAAGGCATTGTGTAAGCCCTAAAGACGTGATTTTGAAAATGGGCTTGGCATGGCTCTACTTTTGCTCCCAGTGGAATTAAGGGGAGTTTTACCACTGACTTAATAGGAATAAAGTAAAGCTGCTGCCCGATGCTTTTCTAAATCCCATTCTTTAGAAGTTAGAATATGTAATAGGTTAATTAAAAACAGGTTTAGAGAAGACAGTTACATAGAAATGTTGGACTGAGTCCTGCAAAACTCCCTTAAGTATACAAGCAAATGCTTCTGTAAAATTTCAAGATTATACATGACACTGAAGAATCAGGGGCCCAACTTTGTATCCAGTGAGATCACTAATTTCATTTAGTTTTTATCGTGGTTTTCTTTTCAATCATATTTTTTCCTGAGTTGCATTTCCCCACATTTAGATGTAGAACTACTGCTTAAACTAAACAATAAGCAGTCTGATTTTGAAACATATTTCCCAGAAGCTTGTAACATAGTCTAATAGCTATGCCAAGACAAAATTGTTTAGGATTGAAGAGTTCAGACTGCTTGGAAAAGGAGAAAAGAATCTCTGGTGCCTTTTTTTTTTTTTTTTTTAAAGCAACATCTAAGGTAGCAAATATGGGGTTAGCTGTTGAAAGACAGCTGACTAATGAAAAAGCTTCCTAAATGCTGAAATACCACTCTCAGCTTCAGTGAGCATATTCTGCTTCAATCACTGTGTGTGTGGGCGTACAATATTTTTCACAGATTGCCCTCAAAACTTATCACTACTTATGTGATAATATTTGGAGGCAGAAGTTACTGCTGGAAGAAGTGCCTTTCTTCAGTATTCTGAAGTCATTCCTTATGTTGCCATATATCTATAGCACTTCATGAATGGATGCAGGAGTTGAAAATACCATCACATGGAGTTCTGCTCTTGTGCTTCCTAAACTGAAGCTCTCTGAACTTATCAGCCTCTTGCCTTCTTTTGCTGTCCACCAAAAGTGCTAGGGCTTAGACGTAGACCTGTGCCAGAGGCTTCACTGCTACACTCATCACTACCTTTGGGACATCTTGAGCATGAGGGAAGCAACAACAAGGATTTTCTATACAAAGACAGAAATTGTTAAATTGTCAAGCCTTTGTGATATGATGACCATTCCAAGGACAATGATCACCTAGGTTTACGACTCCTCCTCTGAATAGGATGTGAAATTTTGTATTCAGAGCATTCCTGTTGTTAGCACCTAATGTTACAGTTACCAGTAAAGTCATGTGGGAACTATTCAGTGGGACTACTGACGCATGTAAAGTTACTGGCATACAGAGCTGTTCACTACGTAAGAGTAATGGAGACTGAAAGAAAAAGAAACCTACTTCAACCCAACAGTGATGTACAAGTTCTTTGTATTTTGTGGTCAATAATTTACTTTATACAAAAGGCATTTCAAAGAACGTGGAAATACAAGAAGTAGCTCAGAAAAAAACACCTTGATTGCAAGTGGTAAAATGAAGGGCTGTACATGCTCAGTTTCAACTGACTGTGTCCAACAGGCAACTCAGCTATAAATTTAAACCACGTTGATAGGTGCTTAAATAGTGTCAAAAAGTCCAACAAAGCATGAACAAATGAAGCCTGGTGTTTGCATTAATCTAGTGACAGTAGTGGAAAGCCCACCTGCCTGCACCAGGACTTGCAGTGGAAGAGCTTCCCTGATAACAACTCCGTCAACATATCCACCTAGTGGAAACATTGAGCTGGCTGACAGTTTGGGTTAGTTTCTTTTTTTTTTTGCTAATTGAACTGCATTACTTCCTGGATGACATCAGCTAAAATGAGGAAAAAAACCATGTCTTAGGGCAGTTGTTTTTCTATGCTGGGTAAGGCTTGGTCTTATCCAGTCTGATTATACCAACAAAACACTGAACTGTATCCCTCCATGGAGGGAAATACTGCTTCTGTGGGTTCAGTGGCAGGATCAGGAATAATTTTCCAGCAGTCATGCACAGGTCAGGCATTTATAGAAAGGTAGAACCGATACATCAGAGGTGGTGAGAGGGAGATTTGCATAATAAGGAACAAGGCTCTTTTCCGTAATAAATGTTCTGAATGGGGAAATTTGTTGCCTAAAAAAAACCCTCTTCTTACTATCTTTTTTTTTTTTTAACAGCTTACACCTAATTTGTCACAGTTCTAGCCTTAGATCTTTTCTAGTGATAAGGAATTAGCCCATATGGTCTGAAAGACACATGTAACAGATAAGGAGAGCATTTACAGTTGTCTCAGTTTTAGGCCCATTCAGTTGAAGCAGAGATACTGGCTGATACATCTTTTTGGAGAATGAATTTGTAACATTGCCACTGCCTTGCAAGGGGTTCCCAGTGTTACCTTCTGGTTAAGACTACTGTAAAAAATTACTTGACAGCTTTCTTTTAAAATGCAATACTTTTGCACAGCTCTTCAGAGATACCTTTAACATGCTTGCCTTTGGGAATAGGATTCATAAACCCAAGTTAGATATCCAGCTCTTCATAGAATAAGTAACATGACATAGACTTGAGGTTCCCAGGGTTCACAAGCTGGATTCATAACACATAACGTGCTGTTTGGAAGGAGGCTTCAACCACTTGAGGAGTAGATGTGTATGAAATACCCTCTGTCTCTGATTTTGGTGGTCGACTGTGGTTCTAAATTCAATATGTGAGGACAGTGCAATTCACAGCCACAAAAACTTTGCTTAATCTTCAGTGCTTTGAGAATACAGGGCTGCCTGATGCTTTTCTTTAAGAGCTCAGAAGAGATAAGTGTTGACCACTTATTTAGGAGTCCTGTGGTTAGAGCACTTGCTCAGGAAGTTGGAGATCTGTGTTTTACAAGATTTTTTAGTCTTGGAGGATTCAGATTATCCTCTTTTTTCTTGCAGTAATATCCAGGCGAACATGTACATTCCCCACCACCTTTCCTTTTGACGTACTGCTATGACTCAGAGAGTAGTGCAGTACTCTGAAGGCAAAGAGGAGAAAAGTTTTCTGTTGAGTATTGCTTAACAACCCTGAAGTAGGAATGCTCTGCTCCCAGAGAAGCCTACAGTCTAAGAGCTAGGGCACTAATCTGAGAGGTGGAAGACACCAGTTTATCCCCTTCCCAATGAGATGGATATTGAAGATTGGTCTCCTATTTGAGGATGAAAAGCAGAAGAAAGAAAATTAAATTCTGTGACATCCTTTATCAAACACTTCTTCTAGCTCAACACATGAGATGAATGTGGCTAACATCCAAACTTTATAAATACTGTAGAAATAAATGTATGATGAATATGAAACTGTAGGCTCACAATCCTTCCTAACCACTTTTTCAACTCTTTTCTGGCATGGCTGTCAATGCTACGAAAGGTCTCTTTTCTACCAGTATCTTTGGAAATATCTTCCATAACTCCCTACATCCCCACCTGAGGGAGAGGATGATTCATCTCTCCAAATGAAATATCTGTAGTGCATGCAGCTTTGAGTGTTTATTGGGAGGGTTCACTGGAAGTGCCCAAGTAAGCATCCAAGTAAGGGCAGAAAAGCTCTGACCTTTCTCTCCTCCCC